TCCTATATATACAACATTTCTGTATTAAAACTTGACGTGTAAATCCAGCAGTTATATATCAGTTATCGATCTTATACAAAAGTTGTATTTGATCCAATACCTCAAAACCCCCCCTTCAAAGCGATTAATTGCATACAATAACTCCTATGTTAAAGTTTATTAGATTTAAAATTACATAGTTAACCGCAATACATTTTTTTCATCTTTAGATATCTAGATTAAGATGAATTGCGATACCCTGATTTATTACTACATGTATTTCTTGTGATCTCATTTAACAATGTCCGATTGTTTTAATTAAATGTAGTTTGAAAATTTGCCTTAAATACAATAGACACATAGATGGACCTTCTGACATTTAGGAATCTAAGTTACAATAAATGTATTAATACATTTGTATGACATGGAGGGTTACAGGTTTAATGGATTCCAGGGATTATTTTTTGGGGGGCTTCATTATTTTATAGCCGAAATTTGGTCATTATTCCCAATTGAAAACAGAATATTATTTTCCCAATCCACAGAAAAAAATCCCAATAAAAAGTTACAAAATAAAAGCATATTGAATAAAAAATTCTAAAATCTTTGAAAACATTTAGAGTGTTATAGTGCTTAAATGTTTGAAGATGCCATCCTAGACAGTGACTGTTTGAATTCTGTGATTTAATCAGTGCAATTAAATTTCATTCATGTATTTTTCCCAATTTTTAACAAAATAAATTAATCCATGGGTATGGGTCATGTTCTCAAAATCTTGGGAAAAAATCCTGGATTCTGTCAATTTGAATCAGATAACAGTGATTTATACTGTTCACCCTATAAATGCTAAATATTTAATCATGGCTGCCTTCAATACATATATAATGTTAAAACAAGGGTTTCATAACTTTGTTTGTTTTCCTACAATGTAGTTTTATAATATGAAATTAGGCAAAGCCTATGAACGGGGAAGTCGTTAAAATATTCCTTTCATTCCTTCCGTTTTAAAGGTGTCATTCGGTATTACATGCACTGCTTCCGTTTTCACTTGGAACACTCGACGATTATTATTTATCCGAAAAGTTGAGATTTGGTACGTTATCGGAATACCCCGCCTATTATCATTGAGTTACATTGTAAATGCGGCGCCCCGACTAGAACTGACACTGAAAATTTCGTTGATAGGTATAGAATTCTATATATTTTTTAATTGTTTTTTATTTGATTTTCTTTTAAATATACACGTGTAGTCTATAGCCGGGCAAGCCAAAGCCCGGACCCGCTTCGCGGGCCCGGTCTTTGACTTCCCCGTATAAAGCCAATTAAACACAGTATGTTATGATGTCATAATTATCTCTTCGACCTCTCAACATAACAAGCTTTCCTGCATAATATACATGTAGCTTAATTAGACCAGGGTGTTGGAGAAAGCTTGGCCATTTCTTTAAAGTAGAAGGGTATTATGCTAATTTATTATTACTGTAAGATATATCATATAAGAACAAGCCAAAAATGGAATATGAAAGAAATTTTCACAAGTTTTAAAATTTAACTTCTATACCAACCTTTACTTCAGAACATAAATTATTCTTGCATTTAAAAATTGCTTACCTGGGGTACATTAAAGGATTTGCCCCAGAAATGAATCATTTTTTTTTACTTAGAAAAGGGAAGATTTAAAAGTACTAAGAGTTCAAAAATTTTTAGAAAAGGAATATCACATGAAAAAAAAGGGAACGCTCCCAATGTCCAATAATTGTCATTACAAAAAAGTAAAAAAGTGTCAAAAACGAAAAAAAAAAATTTGGTAAAAAAGGGTCTAAATGTAAAAGAAGCAAAGTTTTTAATCAACATATAACATGAAAAAATTATTAAAAATAAAATTTAAGTCTTAAAAATTTTTTAGATTTAAAGTTTTTTTACATACCAAATTGTGGTAACAGAGAAAAAATTTTTTTTTGGTCTTTAACATTTAGTCCTACTTAGGTATCTTCCAGCTGTATACATAATACTATGACTTTCTATATTGTATATCAAATATTCATGAAACAAATCTATTATCCTTGAGCTATAAATAGAACGATCATTGAGCTATATAAACATGGAACAAAAAATTATAAGAACAGTAAATTGAATGTGTGCATGTTGTACCATAATGTAACTTTAACTATCACATTAAGGTGTATAGGTCAAGAGTTGTTTATCATTGAATTTCATTATCAACAACAATTAGATTAAGCATGCACGATCATTATACCTAATATGTAACCTTCAAATTACCTTTAAATTAGCCGTGTCACGACAAAACCAACATAATGGGTTTGCGACCAGCATGGATCCAGACCAGCCTGCGCATCCGCGCAGTCTGATCAGGATCCATGCTGTTCGCTTACAGATCCTATTACAAGTAAAGAAACTGATAGCAAACAGCATGGATCCTGATCAGACTGCGCGGATGCGCAGGCTGGTCTGGATCCATGCTGGTCGCAAACCCATTATGTTGGTTTTGTCATGACACGGTTCAAATTAGTATTTGCCAGACAAATTTAAATAAAGTCGTACAACAAAATTTGCAAGCTAATTTTCCAGAAGAAAATTAAACTTCTCATTCAAATACTGCGCTTTTTAGACAATTTTCTTGTTCATAATTCTTTTTAAAAGAAAAAAAAACGGGAGAAAAGTGGTAGGAAAATAAAGTTATTTACAAGCTGTCTAAAACCTTAGCCTTGTATGTTGGTTTTTCACTTAAGAACATTATCTTTATTCAAACAAGCCTATCTTCATGTGTGTTTGTCTTTTGTTACCGCGGAATACTCTGTAGATCTCTTGTAATTTATGAGGACACTTACTTACCTACTCTACATACTCAAATAGAAATAATACGACACCCTTACAATACCCACTCGTAAATTGTTATAGTTTTAGTAGCAAAATCTTGAGGGTTCTGATAAAAAAAATCCCTCATATTTGTTCATGTAAATAGCAAAAAACAATCAAGGTTGCTGTACAAAAAAAAAACATACAGTCCAATCTTATAAAAATCAGATCATCACATTTTGCTCCATCTATCTCTTAGATAATCTAACAAAAGGTACTGGAGCGCCAGTTAGGATATGATTTTAATAAGATGGCATACAGTCATGAGGGTTCCAACACAAAAATAAGAAATGCATATAGTCAACGCGAGTCAAAAATAAGAATACCTTTTGGGGTCAGTAGGTCAAATGTCAAGTCAACAGTGCTTTATGCTCAAAGAATGGAAGAAAACTCAATTAAGTCACTGTGGAAAATTTGAAAGGAAGGTCATCAAAAGCCTTTGGATAAACACTCTTGACGTAACTGTTCATGAAAATAAAACTTTGAGTAGCATTCAATGCAAAGAAAAAATGTAATTAAATCACAGTAGATTGCCAATAAAAACACTAATATTCTAGAACGAAAAACAGTATAAAAGAGATTGGTTTCCCTTTGTCAATAAACAAATGAAATATTAACGCATGTTCAAGGATTTATTACCTTACAAAGCCTGAGATTGATTTTCTAACGCACTGATTATATACTGTCATAGCTTAACAGCGGCTAATTGAGATTTTTGTGTCCCTTTTATCAATTCCTTCATAGCCTTTTACGATGCCAATAAAATAACATAATCAGCGTCCAATGAAATCCATTGATTATTGGATAAACAACCACACTGATCAGTTCAGCCGTTAATCAACAGCATGTAATGGATTTGCTGTTAATTAAATGGCCTTTAAACCTGTGTAATGACTGGAAAAAAGAACATTTGCAGTATAGATCACTGGTGAGAAGGAAATAATCAATTCAATAAAACTACTTATTTTGAGAGTTGTTACATTTATTTCATTTTTCAAAGCAATTAAAACACCATGTGAAAATTATGAGGCTGGATACAAGTAAAAAGCCTGAGTTAAATCCAAATGTCATTTAATAATTCCTATATTGTAGGTAAACAAACTATTTTGATACCAAATTGTTTCAAATCAAGTAATTAAATTATGGCTTCAAAATCTTTGAAGTACAAGGGATTTAACTAATTCACAATTATAATAAGTATTTCAAAATACAATGCATAAATTTTTAGAACGTAACATCATGGTCAATGAAAACTAATCTTCAACAATTTTTTTTCCATCTTGATCTAGTAATTTTTAGTACAGAAAAATGATAAAATTATGCATGGCATTATGATCTCTCTCCTATTAATCAAAACAATTAAAAGACAATTATTTAGCTGAATGTTTCAAATAATGATTAATTGTTTGTTTAATTGAGTTTATGTAATAAGGTGACTTTACAGCTTTACTGGTGGAGGAAGATCTCAGGTACCTTTCTTTGCATTGTTTCAGGCACATGAGAGAGCAAATGAGTGGTACCTACTACCAACTGATGTTTAGTAAGATTATAGATGGAATTATTCTCACATGTAATGATGTATGAAACAGGGATTTTTTTAGGGATTTTGGGAACATGACCCATACCTATGGAATTGGGAATTTTAGCGGTGTTTTGTTAAGAATTGGGGAAAAATGCATGATTGAAATTTTACATTGATTAAATGGATGCAGACAATAACTGTCTAGGATGGCAAATCTTCAAACATTTTAAGCACTATTACAGTGAAACAGCCCTGATTTTCAAAGATTTTAGAATTTTTATTCAATATTTTTATTTTGTAACTTTCAATTGGGAATTTTTTTCCTGTGGATTGGGAAGATAATATACTATTTTCAATTGGGAATATGACCCAATAACGGCTAAAAAATAAGCCAAAAAAAAATCCTTGTGAAAGAATCAAAAGCCACATTGAATCTTATTTATAGAGAATGAAATCAAAAAGCCTTTACACAATAATTTCATATACATGTAGGTTTCATAATATTTTATTGTGAAACTTCCATGTGTATGATATTAAATATCATACACATGGAAGTTTCACAATAAAATCATGTATTAATAAAGTGACCTTTTTACTTGATGTAAAATCTAATGATACTTACATAGTAAGAGCTTGAACTGGATATGCACGAGAGTTAGGGTTTGCAGGCACAGTGATTTTAGTTGGAGATTTCCCTGTTATAGTTCTACTCCTAGATGATGAGGCAGAATTAGTTCGTCGACTTGGAGTTCTGTAACGCAAGTCCCCACATTCACTAGAGTTATCAGAGTTGTCATGCCTGAGCTCATAGCTAGTATTAGTCCGTGAAAGTTGTCCCGCAATCACTTTATACCTTTGAGACTGACTAGAATTGTCTGCACCATTTGTCTTAGGGTTACTACAAGTACAGTTTGAAGTAGGAGTTATCAGTGTGCCGAGATGTTCTTTTCTTGTAGTATAATGAACGCTGGAATGTTGGCCAATGTTACAGGATGATGGTGGGGCAGAGTTTGTAAATCCAGCCTGATGTAACTGCTGAACTGTTACTTGGGTCTGTTGAGGAGGTGCTGAATTCTAAAATAAATAATAGAATTGTTCAAAACAATACTTGATCAGCTTGATCATTCTTATCTTGTTATAAGCAGAAATATGTTCTTCAAATACTATGTAATTAATATTTATCTTTTGCTAATAAGATCATAGTGTTTTTACTATCAATATATAAATGTTTGGTAAACATTCATATATACATATGTTTATATAATAATTTTGATAATAAATTAATCAATAAAGTTATTGTTTAAATCTTCAAAGGTTTAGCAATTAATGAATGAAAATCAACAAATTAACGCCTACGATAATTGAAGTACCTAGTATACACTATAAACTTAGTTTGTCAAAACCAACCTATTAAGTTATACAAGTTTGCCAAACCAATAGTTCTTTCTCTCAGCTTTAGGACTGGACACTTCGTACTACCTGGATTTTAAATTTTGATAAAAAAAAAAAATTTTTTCCCTTGAAAAACCCCTTTCCCCCCTTTCGCATTTTCGACTGATTTGGGTTTTCCCTGAGGGAAACCCCTTTTTCATAAACCCCCATCCGGGTTTTTTCCTGTATTTTTTCCCAAATAATTTTTCAAAATTCCCTTGTTTAAAGGGTTTAAAAAACAAAAACCCTTTTCCTTTTTTTTTTTTATTTTCTAAAAAAACCCTTTTCCAAAGGGGATAAAAATTAAAATTATTTGTTTTTGGGTTTTGGGAAATTAAATTTTAGTTGTTTCATTTTTCCCGCCCCAAAAAGGGGGCTACTGGGAAACCCACCTTTATTTTTCCTGGTTTTTGGGGTTCAGTTTTTGGGTTTTTTCCCTTTTTGCTTTTATTTTTATTTCCCCAAGATTTTGGGAAAAATTTGGCTTTTTAAACCCTAAATTTATCCGAATTTTTCCAATAAACCCTTTCCCAAAAATTTTTTTAAAAAGGTTCTTGGTTAAAAATAAAACCCCTTTGTTTTCTTTGATAGTTTTTATTTTTGTAAAACATTATCTCCATTTTCCCAACCCTTTTTTCCCATTGCCACGGCCATTTAGCCCTTTGGAAAAAAACGTTATAAAAGGGGTCAAAAACCCCATGAATGTTAAAAAGGGTGTATTTAAATCCTTTTGTAAACCTTGCAAAAGCCCGGCTTTTCCCCATTTTTGCCCATGCTCCCTTACTTTTATGTAACCTTTAAAAAATTTAAAAATTTTTAAATTGAAAAAAGGATCTTTGTTTTAAATTTTTCCCGTTTTTTAAGTAATAATATCATTTTTGCCAGGGTTTTTTTCCTTATTCAGCCTGAAGAAAATTTTAAAATTTGGAATTTTTTTTGGGTTAGCACGGGGAGGAAAAAGGCAAAACCCCAAGTTTCCCGACAATCGTTTTTTAAAAAAAAAGCAAAAAATTTTCCCTTTTTTGGGTAAAATTTTGGGAACCCTTTTCTCAATTTTTTTATTTTAGTTAATTCTTTTAAAAATGAAAAATTCAAAATTTTTGCCCATATTTTTCCCAAGGGCCCACTAAAAAAAAAGGGAAAAGGGGGAAACCCGTTCCCTTCGATGTTTACAAACATCAACAACCCTTGACCTTTGGGGGTCCCGGGAAACCCTGCGAAACCTGTAAAAAATTTCCCCCAAAAAAGGGGAATTTGGTAAAAAAAAAAATTTTGGGGTATTTAAAAAAATTTATTTTCTCCTGAATTAAACCCAAAATGTGATTTTAAATTTATTTTTTTTAAAATTTTTTAACCATATTGTTTTTAAAAATTTATTTTTAAAAATTGGGCAAATCAAGAAAAGCTTGTTTTTTGTATAAAAATTTTCACCCAATATTAAATCAGGGTAGATTTCTTTTTTTGAAAATTTAAACCTTAAAATTTTTTTTCCCCGGGGGGAAAATTGCCCCAAAAATTATTCTTTTCCCTTACCATTTCCCTTTCCCCCCTAAAACGGTTTTTTCCCCTAACCTTTTTCCTTTCCCCTGAGGGTTTTCTCTCCAAATTAAAATTATCCCCAAGACAGTTCCCCCCCCCAATTTATTTTTAAAAAATTTCATTTTATTTTTTGATTTAAATTTTAAAAAAATTTTAATTTTTAAAAAGGGAATTTTTAAAAAAGAATGTTTTTTTTTAAATTTCACTGCATTTTATTTTTATTTTTTAATTTACCTTTTAAAAAAAGGGGTTTGTAAATTTTAAACCCCCTTTTTTTTAAATTTTTTAATTTTAGTCCTATCAAAAACCTTTTTTTGTGGGGGATTAAAAATAAAATCCTTTGGCCCCTTTGATTAAAGGGGTACACCTTTTAATTATGTTTAAAAAAGGGTTTTCCCTAGCAATTTTAGGGTTTCCTTTTAAATTTTTTTTAAATATTTGAAAAAAAAGGGTGGAAACAAGAAAATGTTTTGGGAAAAATAATTTAAAAAAAACAACGGGGTTATGAAAACACATTCCCCTTTATATTTTTTATTTTTTAAAAACATCACGTGATTTTTTGTCCCTAAAAGAAAAGAAAAAAAAAAACTGGGGGGTTAAAAATTTCCCAAAAAAACCCCCGGGTTAAAGGGACCTTGTATATCCCCGCTTTTATTTTTTTCCCCCCTTCGGATTCTTTTAGTTTACAAACCCTTTTTAAAAAAGGGCAACAAAAAAAGCTTTTTTTTTTAAAATTTTTCATTTTCGTAAAATTTTTCCCTTTTTATACAATACCGAAAAAAAATTTTCCTACATACACTAACCCCAAACCAAAAATTAAAATGCATAACCCATTTTAATAAATGGGTTTTGAAAACGGCCCCCAAATCCTTAAGAACCTAATAATGGGCCCTTTCCCTAAGTAAACAATCCCCCCATAAAAAAAAATTTAAAAGTTTTTTTCATACAAAACCAAAAAATTAAAAAATGGGGCCATGATTTTTAAACCCACAAAAAGGGAACCGGTAATTTTTTTAATTGTTAAAAAATTTTGTTTAAAAATAACGTTTTTTCTTTTATCTTTTTTTTTGACCCGGAAATTTTCTTTATTTTTTCCGCAACATTTGGGGGGTTCCCGAAAATCGAAAAAGGGGGTTAAAAGGGAAAATCGGGTTAAACCGGGAAATTTTTTTTTCCCGTTTTTGAAAAATAACTTAGTTTTTTTTCCCCTTTTTTTTATCGTTTTTAAAGAACCCGAAATAAAAATGGCCCCTGAAAAGGTTGTTTTTTGGGGCTATTTAAAACCCCGGGTTTTTGCCCCGTTTTGATTCCCGAACAAAAAAAAACCCACCCCCAGGCCCCGGCCTTCGGGGGCCCAATTCCTACGTTAATAAAACCCCCAAAAACCCGGTTTTTAAATAAAACCGATATACACCTCCACCCCCCAGGGTTTATTTTTTTTAAACAAAATTTGTTTTTAAAAAACTTTTACCCATTATTGGGAAACAAATATAAAAACCAAAAAACTAAAATCTTTTTTCTTAAAAACATTCCCCCACAGCTTTTTTTAATCAAAATTAAAACCCTTTAAAATTCTTGGGGAAAAAAATTTTTAAATAAACCCCTAATTATAAAACTGCCCAGCAAATTTTACGATACATTTTTTGGAAAACCCCGGGTATTGAAACCTCCTTTTTTCTTCATTTAAAAAAGTTTACCCTTTAAAAATTTTTTAATCATTTTTTCCCCTTTTAAATTATTTTTTTTTATTAAAAAAAAATAATAAAAAAAAAAAACCCTTTATGAATTACCCTTACAAGTAAATTTTTAAATTAATTTTTTTTCAATTGATTTAAAACACATTAAAAAATTTATCATTCCCAATCTAAATTAAAAAAAAAAGAAAAATTTTAACTATTTTCTTTAAATTATAAAATTTTAAAATTATTATATTTTTAAAAAAAAAATTTTTTTTTTAATTTCAATTTATATAAATTGATAAAAAATTTTTACAAATTTTTAAAAAAATTAAAAATTCCCTTCCAATAAATATTTTTTTTCTCAAAATTAGTTTTAATTTTTAATTAAAATTTTTTTGTTTAATTTAATTTTAACCGATTTTTTTTTGTTTGGTTTTGTTTCCCTAAAAAAATTAAAAAACAGGGAATTAAAACATTTTGAAGGGTTTTCATAAAAGTTTTTTTTTTCCTCCTAGTTTTATAATTTTATAAAAAACCTTACCCATTTTTTAACTCTAAACACTTCAAAAAAAATCTTTTTTTTTTCCTTAATTATTTTAAATTGGTTTTAAAAACTTCCCCTTTAAATTTATCATTTTTAAATTTTTAAATTAAATTTTAAATTTATAAAAAAAAATGGGGGAAAACTTTTTTTTAATTTGAAAAATTTGAAGACAGTTCCCCCCAAAAATTTAGGAAAAACCCGGGTTCCAGGGAGGAAAGGGTCAGGGGGGGAAAGGTGGGGGGAAAAGAATATTTTTGAAAACCCTTTCCCCGGGGCCCCCCGAAAAATTTTTGGGTTCCCTTTATATTTATCCCGGCGTTTGGGTTTTAGAAATGACAAAAAAATTTGAAAATTTGGGTTTGAAAAAGGGTTAAAAAAAAACTAAAATTTTCCCCTTTTCCCCTATCCCGCAAAAACCCTTTTTCAGAATTTAAATTTAAATTTTTTTCGGGGGAAAGAAGAAAAACCAATTTTCCCAATTTTTTAAATTTCAAAGGTTTTAAAAACTGTTTTTTTATAAATTTTTTTTGGGGGCCCGGGGTTTTTTTGACTTTGAAAAAAATTTTTTAACCAGTGGGGGGCAGTAATCAAATAAAATTTCGGTTTTGGCCCAAAAAATTTCATTGAACCAAAAAGCAACAACACTGGGTTTTTAGTCAAGTTTTATCACAAAAACCTCCCCCCCAAAAGGGGTTTTAAATTATGAAAAAAAAGGGGCCAAACCCCCCTCAAAAGGGAGCTTGGGGTTTATTTTTCCCGAAAAAATATTAAAAAATTAATCTTTTAATTTTTTTTTTAAATTTTCCCCTTTTAAAAATTTGGGCCCTTTCCCGGTAATTTTTTATCCCTCCCTTTTAATTTTTCGGGTTTTTCCTTTTTGCCCCCAACTATGGTTCCCATGGGAATTTGGGGCGTGGGGGGCCAGTCTACACATCCGTTTTTATGGGAAAATTTTTAAATTAAAAATTTTGCAAACATTTTAAAATTTTCAGTATTTTGGAAAACCAAATTTTTTTCCCAAAACCCCACCCAACTTAGCAGGTCTGGCCGTTCCCCGGGAAAAGCTCGCATTTTAGGGGCCCAGTCAAAAAATTTTTTTTCCTGAAATTTTTACAGCCCAAAAAATTATTTTTTTTAGGGCTTTTTTTCCGAATTTTTCAAAAAAAAGTACATGTTTTTATAATTTTAAAAAATTTATATTTTCCCCCCTTTTAAAAATCCAAGGGGGTTTTATAGCATGGAAATCATGGGGGGTTTAAAAATTTTTTTTTACTGAAAAAAAGGGGTGAAATCCCCTTTGTTTTGGAAAAAAAAATTTTTAAACCCTCCAGTTTTTAAATCCTAGGGTAAAAAGGGAGCCCCATTTCGGGGGTTTAAAAAACCGGACCCCCAAAAAAAATTCCCCCAAAAAATTTTTCCCTTTTAAATTTGCCCAAAGGGGGCACTTTTTCACTGGAACCCTTTAAAAGAAAGCTGACGGGAATAATAAAAAATTTCCAATATTAAACCTTATGCCCCTGTTTTTTAATTTACACCAAAAAATTTTTAAAAAAGTAGTTTCTGTTTCCTTTTAAATTGTTTTTCTGTGTGTTTACTTTTTTTTTGGGGGAATAAATTTTTTTTTTAAAATTTGTGGGTTAAAGAATTAGCCCAAAAAATTCCCCACAAAAAATTTTTAATTTTTGGCCCTTTAAAAAAAAGGTTTTTAAAATAAATTATAATGAAATTTAAAAAATTTTCTTTTAAAAAATTTTTATCTGGTAGTCCTAAATTTTTTTGCAAAAAAAAAATTTTTTAAATCTGGGTTTAAAAGATTTTTAAAAAAATTTTAATAAAACATTTTTTTAAAGATGAAAATAATTTTTAAAAACTTTTTTTTTTGCCCTTTTAAAAAATTGGACATAAAATTTTTAAGGAAATTTAGAAATAAAGGTTAAAAAATTTTTCCACAAATTTTAAATTCCCCTTTTAACCCTGTTTTTTTTTGTCATGTCCTTAACAAAATTTTTTTA